TATATAAACAGCGCCTTTTATATCAGTGAGTTATTTCGATGGAATGGCCAATGTCTGATATTTAACTTTATCACTCATATCGGCCGATACCGATACCATGTTGATAATATTGTGCATCCCTAAATAATGTAGTTACAATATGTTTAGACATATGGTGTCAGTAGTTCTATGTTTAGTAATGTTAGCATCAATATGTTTGTAATCTCTACAAAAAAATTGCTGTGCTAAACAGACTGAAAAAATACACAAGCTATCTCTGGTGACTTTGCAAACTGTGGGTGCAGCCCAATATTTTGTCAGTGCATTGGTTCAGTTTGAACAAATGCAAGGAAAAAGAAACATATGAATATTAAAACTAATTTAGTGTTTCATCAAGCTCAGTGATTCTCTTGACAGTTCACTGCTGTTTATCGAAGGGCCTGAAGCCCTCTGAGCTCTTTTTGCTGTGAGAATGCGGGTCACACATGAACAAATGGGTCAACCACACCTCCTCCCTACAACCAGGAACTAAAGGCATGTTTCCTTTCAGAACACTTGGCACATTTACATCATGTGCTATGTCAGCTCTTTAGGGAAGAAACAAATCTGGGTTTCAGTTTTAAAGGAAAATGTCTGATTTTAGAATCAAATGTGCAGTTTGCTGCTTTCGCTGATGAAGAAAGTTTGTTTTGTAATTGTTTGTCTGCTTCATGGAGAAGAAAGATGACCTGGTTGAGTGTGTGTCAGCAGCTGGACAAAAACCTGAGTCCAGTCAAAACTGGCAGGAAGAGTCTCACCGCTGAGCTCAGAGGCTTTTAATAGAAAGAGCAAAGAAACACAACAGCTCTGCTTTGTTATTGTCTCAAACTTACCCAAAGAGACCTATTCATTATCTTTACTGATTTGAATACACAACATGTGCCAAACATTTCTTGTCTTAACAGCTTTATGAAGGGTCTCGTTCGTCATCCTTTCAAACAGGTTTTTAAAAAACATACTATTTATTGCAATGCAGTTTTGATATCATATGAAAACTTGTGCACATAGACTTTTTTAAACTGCTTTAGAGAGACATTGAAAACACGTGAATTAACAGTATAAAATGAAGTATTTTATGCAACGTTTTCAATTTGTCCGTTTTTTTTTTACTTGCACTTATTTAGGACTCTATAGAGTTCATTCTTTGCATAAAGACCCAGTTTTCTTTCCTTAATTCTTTCCCAGTTTTTATAAATGTATAATAATAATAATAATAATGCATTCATTCAACCTTTATTTATACAGGTTAGTCCCATTGAGCCTCTGGGACTCATTTACAACAATAATAATAAAAAAAGATTTAGGGTGGCAAGGTGGTGCAGTTGGTAGAGCTGTTGCCTCTCAGCGAGAAGGTCGCCGGATCGAATCCTGGCTCGAGAACCTTTCTGGATGGAGTTTGCATGTTATCTCCTACATGTGTGGGTTTTCTCCAGGTACTTCGGTTTCCTCCCACAGACCAAAAACATGCATGTTAGGCTGACTGGTAACTCTAAATGTTCCATAGGTGTGAGTGAGAGAGTGAATGGTTGTTTGTCTTGTTTGTCTCTATGTGTCCCTGTGATGGACTGGAGACCTGTCCAGGGTGTCCTCCTCCTCTCACACACTGATGGCTGGATATGGGCACCAATGACCCCCATGACCCGAAAAGGAAGAAGCGGGTAAAGATAATGGATGAATGGATAAAAGATTTTGATGAAAAATAAAATACAGACCAGTCAATTCAACTTTCCCTTAATTGCATGGGTTTTCCCCCCCAAAACACAAGCTAAATGATATGAAAACAACTTTATAAATGTAGAGATGTCTGTTTTATAAGTGTGCATCTACAAACGTGTGCAGATTTTTAAATTCTGCCACATTTGTGATGTTTATGAGGCTAATATTCCTCTATACTTCTGTTTGTATGACATTGTGCACAAATGGTTTAATTTTCTCCCGTTGTTGGAGTGAAACATTTAAAAAAATGCTTTTTGCCAAAAGGTGGGTTGAGTATTCATAAAGTAGATTTATTTACAGTGCAAAATATACCTAATTGTGTTACTGTTTTCCACCTACTAGACAGTTTAAAAATATCCTAAAAGTTTATTTTTCATGCTGTCAGAAAAGGTTGCCGCAAATCACTGCGTTTGAAACAAACCAGGGCAGCACGATGGTGCAGTAGAGCTGTTGCCTCTCAGTGAGAAGGTCGTCGGATCAAATCCTGCCTGGGGTGCCTTTATAGGTGGAGTTTGCATGTTTTCTCTGTGCATGCGTGGGTTTTTTCCAGGTACTCCGGTTTCCTCCCATAGACCAAAAACATGCATGTTCAGTGACAGCTGGAAACGGGCACCAGTGACTCCCGTGACCCGAAAAGGAA